CACGCTATTTACACATAAAATAATTTGGTATGAGGAGAATCAAAAAGATGCACCTCAGAGTATTCTTCATCATCAAGTCAAAATTAAGGAAGAAATGGACATGAGTACTGGCATACAAGAGGATGACATTGATGAGACATACAATGTAGAGTTGGGCAATTAACTACTATTATGTTTTTATTCTTGGTAATCCCGTTTGACAAAACTCTTTTTAGTTGTAATTTTGTTCAACTTTTATTTTAGTGAGGCTATGAGTTTTTAAATGCGAATCCAACCCGAATTGTGCCTTGCAAAGAAGTTTCAGAAGTTAATTATTTCATGTTTGCCACTTCGCTAACTATGTCAGGGATCAAGCGAAATTCTAGTCAAAGTTGTTTGGTCGTTCAAGCGAAGGAGTGTGCACTTGAGCAAAAAATCTTTGGTCCCAGAAGTTTTCACTGACTGTAAAAATACTGAGAAGTTGCATTTCTCACTCGAGCGACACTTTGGTGGCTCGAACGAAGGTTTTTAGAAAAACACGCGTTTTAGTCTCCTTGCTCAAGCGAGAATTCCTTCGCTCGAGTGAGCATCGCGGCCCTGTTTTCTATAAATATGTGTTTTGTCCAAGTTTAGGGTTACAGCTTCCAGATCTTCTTCTTGGATATTAAGGTTTATATCTGGAGCTTCTTTGCTAGTTTCTTTGATGTTTGTTTGAGTTTAACTCATGGTTTGAAAAGTATACATTAAAGGATTATTTGTTTTGTTCAATACAAAAGAGAGTGTTGTTCTTCGGTGGATTCCGTGGAATTAGGGCCTGAAGCTTTGGTGGATTCCGGAGTGGCTCATCGTCGTGATTTGACATCGGCGTTGTGGATTCAACGTTAAGCAAGACAATTCTGAGGTGAAGACAAGGCTGGAAGAGGCACATAGAGGTCGGTTTGATTTGGGCGTAGATTCACCAAGTAATTGAGAGTACACTTGTGTAATTCCTTTATGTCTTCTTAGTGGATTGTTTTGTGGCTTTAGCCCGTGGTTTTTTTTTATCACAATTGGAGGCGCTCCAATTGTGGTTTTTCCACATAAAATTATTGTGTCGATTTGTCTTGATTGTTTGATTGGGATTGCTGTTTACTACTTAAAATTGATATATAATCACAAATCAATATCGAGGGGATCTCTAGATTTTTCAACCACAATTTTAGACTAGTGTGGATCATCACGTTAAATTTGTGAAAGAAATGAACACGAGTGCTAGCATACTAGAGGATGACATTGATGTGACATATGATGGAGAGTTTGGCAATGAAGCATAATTTCAAAGCAATGCACATGATGAAGCCAATATTGAGGAAGGTGCAGAGACTATTGCATATCTACATGCGCATGGGGTGTATCAAGTCATTGTGTCAAAGGTTGCTCAGGACAACATTATAGAGAAAATGGTTGTTGACCATTAAAAAGCATTGGATCTCATCGAGAAACTACAAATTGAGAACCAGAATCTGTAGGCAGCAAATAACATGAAAGACAAAATCATCTTAGAGCTAGAAACATTAATATGTAACCAAAAGGAGAATCCAACAGCTTAGAATGAGTTGTCCTCTATCAAACTTACAATTGATAATAAGAATGCTACGATAGAAAGGCAAAACAACTCCATAATTGACTTCCAAATTAAGAAGATTATACTACAACTTGAGAAAACTATGCTAGAAGATAAAATTGATGATGATGCAGTACATGTTGTCACACAACAGGTAAACCAGGAGACTATGGATGTGGAACTGAATCAAAATTTGAAGAAGAAGACCCAAAAAACTCCAACATCTTGGGTGAAGCGCATCAAAATCAAAAAAATGAAAGAACTAAAGTTGCTTGATTTTGAATATTAAGACAAAAAGGGTGACAAACAGAAAATAAAGTTAGAAAATTTGGAACAAAATGACAGTGAGAAGCAATGTGAAGTTGTAGATCCAGATTTTAAAGCCTATTTGCACGAGCTTCGATACTTTAAGCGTCCTAAGCATAATAAGTTTAGGTTGCCAACAAATATGAGGTTTGGAAGCTCATATTTGAACAAGGCAAGCAAAAGCTAAGGAAAATGCATAAAACTGAAGGTTACGGGTAAGCATATTTCAAATGACTTCTATATCTTTACATATCATCCTTGTCTTATTTTATCTAAATTCTAAATGTAGGTTAACTGTTTGGCGAGGAACAGTAAGGGGACTTATGTTTTCTATGAAGATCTTGAGTCAATAATACAAGACAAGTCCATAACAAACAATGTATGGTGCTTTGTACATTATGCATGAAAGGTTATATATAGACATTAACATTGAATATATATAGGTCATAGATGCATATGCGGAAATTTTAAGAAACAACCATGAATCAATGATGACAGATTCATAACAATTTGACAAATCATTCTTTTTCAACAGCTTGTGTTTGGTATAATTTGTTATTTTACTTTTTTCATCTTGAATTAAAAACAAGTTTGATCCCTTATTTATAAAGCTCATTACTCACAAATTGTTGTTAATGTTTACAGAGCATGATTAAACATGAAAACACATAACTACTAACTAAACTCATTGATCCTCACATTAAGCATGCAAATTGGTATCGATATTTGCACTTTCCACTCCACTTTAAGTATCATTGGACCATAATAGTAAGCGACACGGATAATAGAGTGTGGAAGCACTACAATTCAATGAGGCCAAAAGATGGTTTTGAAGACATACACCTAGCTCAAGCAAGCGTAGTGGTAATTTCAATATTTCATTCTATAATATGCAAAAATGTGCATGTTGAGTTACACATCAACGCTGTTAAAATATTATCTATTCTACACATTTAATCATATTCACAATCATAGAAAACATATATCAAATCGCATATTTAGAAATTACTCTCAACATTGGATATGGCAGATACATTAACACCCTCAGACTATGTCAAGCCATTGTAATCAATTGCTGCATGCCCTCACAAGATCCAAAATCATGAGTATTTACAATTAATACTCTTATTGACATAGTACCTACAACCAATGTGAACATAAGAATGTATTGATTCTTCTTTTTCTTTTTTTTTTCTTTTTTTTCTTTTTTTCTTTTCCCTATAGTCTTAATTGCGGAGTTGCACTTTGCTACATAATGAGGCAACATGCCCATCATGAACCGATTGAACCTATGTTGGACAAGGAAGCTTGGTTTGCTATGAGAGCTGTGTTAGTTGAAGCATTCCTGAAAGAACAAATCATGCAATTTTTGTTGTTGACAACAAGGAAAATGCATCTAATAACTAAATTCATATTTTCATACCCCACCATTTTCTCTTGATGTATTGATGTATTAATGACACAATGTTAACATCAGGTTTTGTCTAAGTACAATATGTTTTGTATATGATAGACCAGTCACTAACATGTGAACTTGGATATTGTTAGTTAGTAAACAATGATTCCACGAAGTCGTTGATATGAATAGCTATATACATTTTGTCTATCAAGAAATGTAGTTTTAATATGAATGTGAAAGCTCACATATGTATATCATATGCTCACCTTGCCAACACATATTATATATGTAACTTTTCTACATTTTATTTTGCAAAAAATCAAAACAAACTATTTCAAAAAAAATAAAGAAAATGTAAAGAAACTACAGAATTACAAATTCCATGGAACAAATCACCTTTTTATTGACAAATTGTATCAAAATATGAAAATTCACATTAAGAAGCTTACACCAACAAGTACACCCACACAAAAACTACTAAATTGTTCACTAATGCAAATGTATGTAATATTCACAATAGTATGCTATTTATCTAAAACAAAATGTGGTTGCCCATCTTTTTAAATCTACCACACCTCAAATTTGTTCAAAAACATATATCATATTCCACAGCCATCAACACATATTGTGTATATATGTAACAAGATAACATTTTATTTTGCTAAAACTGAAAAACAAACTATTTCATAAATAACAAAATGAAAAAAAAAAAAAAAAAACTACAAAATGAAAAATTGCATATAATGAATGAATCTCCACTTATTAAAAAATTGTATCAAAATACAAAACAAGTACACCAACGCATCAACTAATAAAATGTTTATCCAATGCAAATGTATGTAATGTTCACAATGGTATCTTATTTATCTAAAACAAAAAAAGCACTATAAATGTTCAAAACTGAATGTGAAATTCACAGTGTTCACCAACACATCAACCAATATAACTCTGTATTGGCTCTTTACACAACTTCCAATTGTGTCTGCCTATCTTTCCACATCTACCACACCTAATTTGACTTGTTTTTTCCTCTCAAGATGGTATTCTACTCTTTCTCAGCCTACCAGCTGGCCGTTTTACAATTGGAGGTAATATGATAAAATCGCTAGAGGAAAAAGCTAGTTTCTCCACAGATGGTATCGGAAAAATAACCACTGCATATGCTTCCCGATAATTTTCTACATGAAAATATTTTTCAACACAATCATTAAGATTATATGCACTCCTTTGGATAGCTGCAACTACATGTTCACAAGGAAATCCATTTACTTGCCACCGGTAGCAAGAACAAACACGGCATCCAATATCAACTGTAACTGATGGAAACGAACACATCATCATTAGCTTTACTCACATTCCATGACCTACTAGTATTGAATGAATCCTAGAGGTTAGTCACAAAGGTAGGGCAAATAATTCCTTTTCACTTGTTTGCAATCTCCTTCCGTTTGGACATTTGACACATTATTTGATTTCGGACGTATCAACCAATTTTGCTATTGGAAGATTTCGTGCTTCTTTGATCTAATTGTTGAATGATTTAGCAGTATTGGATGTCATCTCACCATATCGTTGTCCCTTAACACATGACAGCAAAAATTGTCACATTTTAATACCATATGTGACAATTCACATTATTATAACAACACAAAAATATAAACGATGTACATATAACCATCATTATATTCCATGAAATACATAATTGTACACACTTTACTTAAAGTAAGCATTTCCCCAATGTTCAGGTTCCAACCTTGACAAGAAGTAATATGCTCGTTGTTTCCCCTCACTCTTCAACTCTTCTAGTAATGTATGAAAACCCGTCACAATAGGTTCATATGCACAATCATCCAACTGGCCTATTAAGTGTTCCTTGAAACCATTCTCCATACCCTTCAACTTGTCCCTAAAATTATTCTTTAGGTGTTGTAAACACCATCCATGATATGCTGATGGGAATGCCTTTGGCATTGCTTCTAAAAGCCGTAGGTTACAATCAGATACAAACGTCATGCATCTATCATCAACAATTACTTTTGATAGTTCATATAAAAACCATGACCAATTCGATTCCCTCTCCGAATCAACTATTGCAAAGGCTACCAGAAACGATCCTAAAAAGAAAACCGATGTTAATAGTCACAACTGACACACAAAAAGTAAACAAATGTAAAACTTCACATCAAAAAGCTAAACAAATCTTGGTTACCATCTTTAGCTGTCGCTGCAAGCAATTGCCTTTTGTATCTCCCTTTTAGAAATGTTACATCAAGAAAAAGCAAAGGGCAACAATATTTGAAGCCATTGATGCATGTAGCGAATGCTACATAAAACCTTTTAAATTGACTAGTCTTAACATCACAGTCAATATTGATATGACTTTCCGGATTATAATGCTTAGTAGCATCACCATACCATCTCAGTTGGTCAAACGATGTTAAGTAATCACTATGCATAGCATTTCTCACTTTCTCAACACCTAACCATGCTATATGGTAGCTGATATCAAGTCCATAGTCTGCCTTGAAAGTATATGCCACATCAGTGGGGCACATTAGTGGTTTGTCCCTAACATGTTCAGATACAGCATTTGACACCAAATCAAAGCTGAGCCTCGGATTTTGTGAAGTATGAACATCAGCACCACAACTATTTATCTTCATCCATCTCTTAAGGTAGAAAAATTGGTTTGCTCTTTGGGCCTTACCCTGTACAAACTATAAATATCCCCTATCATCTCTATGTGAGCATAGAACAGTCAACGATGGATCTAGGGAAGGAGGGAAGGGCTAAGGGGGGTGGTCGCACCCCCAAAAATTTGAAAAATATTATATATTATATTAAAAATTTTAAAATAACTTCAAATTATAGGAGTTCGCACCCCCAAATTTTTTGTACATAATTTCAAAATTATATGGAGTAGCCCCCCCCCAATTTTTTAAACTATAGAATAGCCCCCGCCCCTTCCAAAAAAAAAAACATAATCCTGGATCCGTCCTTGACAACAGTAATTCGTTCTGAATCGTTCTTCAAATATTTGAATTTAAACCCACATTGCATTGCATATTTGCATAAAACCTCAAATACTCCTCTTGTAAAACATTGACCAACATGCGTAATACCATTTGCCCAAACTAAAGACAACAAAACCTTCTCAATGTGCGCACAATATCTACAAAGCAAATTTGTTTGATCCTCATGTTCAATGCATGGATTTGCTAAACTACTATGTCTGTCAGTGCCTAATTTTTGCTCAACAACAACATCAATTTGTTCAACTCCAATTGATTTACCAAGCAATAACATGTTTTGCAATTCCTCATTGTTATCCAAATGACAATTCTTATATCCCGACAGTCAGTAAAACATAGTGATTGAATCAACAAACAAATCACACCATTTGTTGCACACACATTTCACTAACTGGTCAGAGGAAAATGATTGTACCACATTTATGACAAACATGTTTGACCCATAGCAGCACAACAACAACATGAAAAAATCCATTTGTCTCGTATCACACTGCAAAATCATCAATAGTACACAAAATAATTTGAATATTGAATCGCATTCATATGTGTAATGATTAGCTAACACAGTGAAATGGATTTTTAAATAGTTCAAATATTCACATCTTACAAAAAAAATTCTACCTCCCCAACAAATAATCATAAACCCTACATTTATCTTCATACACACTACATACAACAAATTCTAAGCCCACAACATACACTCATACATATAATTTCAATTATACAACTCATATACTGATAATGTGAACTTCCAATTCACTAAATGCTCAACAATAGCTTGTCCAAATTGCATCATGACTTTTTAAATAGTTCAAATATTCAGGCCTCGTTTGGGGAAGGATTATTTTAGTCAAAAAATCATAATGTTACTAAAAAAGTCAAAAAGTTTACATTTTCTATCCTACAGCCCTATGCACAGTGCCATCACGTGTTCACTGAACAGATTAAGTGTAAAAAGATCCTTTTGCCCCTCAAAGATGTGTGGTTATTTCATTTTGTGCCCCTGCTTTATGTCAAGCATTGATGGGAATATTATCAGAGCTAGAGGGTCTACTATCCAGAGTTCAGCTACTATCCAGTCTCTACATTAATCACGGAAGATGAAGACGTCCGTTCGTTCAAGGCCACAAAGTTGTAGAAGCTCTGATCTGAAGACGAATACGAAGACGAAGACGATGCAACTGACGACGACAGTCCGCGAAAGCAGTCCCGCCGTCGAGGATCGCCCCAACTGCAGATATCCTCTTCTTCTTCTTCTTCTTCTTCTTCTTCTCTCTCTCTCTCTCTCTCGCTCTCTTCAGCCTCTATTGTTTCTGTTTCTGTATGTAACCACGAGACCTATGTTTTACAAATTTGTATACATGTATGAACTCTCTCTCTCTCTCTCCAACCTCTCTTGTTTATGTTTTTATATGTAACCAAGAGACCTATGCTCTGTTTTGTATATATGTATGAGCTTTCTCTTTGTCTCCGTCTATCTCTCCCTATCTGTCGCTCTGTCTCTCTCTCTCTCGAGCTCTCTGTCACCACTTTCCATTCGCTTCCAAAATCAGATTTGTTTGGGTAATTAAAATGAAAGTCCCCTAAAAACAAGAGAGGGTGGTTTTAGGGTTTAATGTTCAACTTTACCAATAACCGAGTTCGTTGTGGTGGGGGTCAATCTGATAACAAATGGACATGACATAACAAATGTGGAGAGTTGTTAAACTTTCTTTACAACTATTGTTATAAAAGTGAGAATGTCATGTTTGAAAATTTTAGGCATTAATGTTCTTCCTGTTCACATTTGTGAAATTTCTTTTTTTTTTGAAATTTTTGGTGCACATCTGCAATTATGTTGGTGCACAGTTTAGGATTTTTTTTTTTTCTTCTTCCTGTTCCTACCCTGTTTCTATTCTGCACTACTTCTATTTGTTTTGGTTTGTGATCTACAATTCATCCGTGCCACTAAGACGGGATTATTTCAACATTCCATGGGCACTCATCTCTTTTTTTGCTGCTGTTGTGTTGCTTTTACCTACTACGGCACAAACTGTATTTTCTGTTTGGAAATCTTGTTAGATATCTTTGCTTTCATGTCTTGTTTTAAAGAATGGGAATGGGACCTCTATGTGATGGTTTCTTTTCTCATGAATAAAATCTCTTTCTATTGTTTCATGAGAAAAAGAAAAATATTTTGATGAATCAGTTGAATGGTTTGGAAAATACATTAAACAAACAAGCTCACTTTTACTAAATTCTTAACTGCGTCATGGTTTAAACAAACCCTTTTTAATAGATGTATAATTAGGAGGAAAATAATTTGCTTTGGAGTTTTGAACAATAGTTTTCTGAATTTTTAATTCGTAATTTTATATTTTTATAATTTTTTTTAATATTTTCACCAAATTTTTTTTTTTGAAAACTTTTTAGATCCACTTAATCTTGATATGCTTAAAATTTTCAAAATTTGTATAATTGTTTTTAAAAAAATTCATTGAATACAATAAAATACGAAAATATATTGAATTTTCATTTTTTTATTTTATTTTTTGTATTTAATGAATTTTTTAATTTTTTTCTCACAAATATCATGTTTTTTTAGGTGTATCTAGGTTAGATATCTAAGAAATAAAAAAAATTACATAAAATATTACAAATTCACTAAAAATAAAAAATAAAAATAAAAAATAAAAATATAGAAAACAAAAAATTTAGTTTTTTGAAAAGTGAGTTAAACTAAACAAGGTAATTGTATTTTCATGAAAGTGCAAGTGAAGTGAGCATATGTCTACCTAATGTTTTGTTTTGAAAATTGCAGTCTGTATGATTTTTTTTTTTTTTTTGGGCATGCAATGAAGCTGTAATGTTTTTCACTATATATCTGCCCTTGCTTGTTAGCATCCCTTCTCTGTTTAAAATCACTATTTAACAAACTGGCTATAGGCTGAGATTTAAATGTTCTGTGGAATGGGGGCTTGTTTGATTTTCTTACCCAGTTTCGTATAACAAAATTATGTCCATAACAAAAGTGTCACACCCATTCACCTATTCTTGTTGTGCTTGTCATGTCCCGAAACATGTCACGAAAGAAACTATGGCCTCATTTATGTCAACTGCCACATCAACACAACCAGCCCGTATGTGTGTGTGTGGCTACGAGCACTGTGTTGTAAAGATTTCCCGTTTTGCAAGAAACCCTAGTCATGCGTACTACCAATGCCCTCATGGAGTGGTGAGTACAAGCATGTTCACTTTTACATTTCCTTGTCAAACCGTCACTAACATATTTTTTAACCTCAGCCATGTGTCAGTTGGATTGGGTGGTGTGATGAATATGGGCGCCAAAGGGCTGCTGAGAATGACACAGAGAATATCGTTCGTTTTGAGACTCGTTTCAGTGACATTGAACAAACTCCGCGTGTGCTTATAGTAGTGACATGTGTGTTATGCATCATCGTTGTTATTTTGCTATTTCGGATGTGATATATGTAACCGTGCTGCGACGTTACCCTATTTTATTAAAGGCATTATGTTTTGTGGCCCAAAAATATTACTAAAATTTCATTTTGTTCGTAAACATGTAGTAGTTATATATTTCCGCAACTGTTTGTTTTGGTTTCAAATACTAATGTCATTAAATGAATCTATTGCCCTGTGTTTTGTTTCAAATACCACATTTCTCACATAAAAGGTGTTCATGATTTTGCTAATGCTTGTATTGTGAGTGCATAAGTATTTTTGCGTTGGTTCCCCTTGGACGATGTTGTTATAGTCGCATGGCATCACATCGATCTGCGCCTCGTACCCCTTCCGGCAAAGGAAAACGACAACAACCCTACCATAAAGCAACTTGGGATGGGGAGTCGACACGGATTTTCTTGGAACTGGTCATTAAGGAAATTGAAACAGGAAACCGGCCACACATGTCAATCACTCCGAACGGGTACCGTTCGTTGTCTAAGACATTTGAGGCAGCAACTGGGAGGCTGCATTCACTGAAACAACTAAAAAACAAGTACAATTTGTTGAAGAGCGAGTGGCGTGCGTGGTCTAAGCTAATGGATTGCCACAAAGGCCCAACTAGAATTGGCTTCGACCAAGTTACTGGATTGTTCACTGCGTCACCTGATTGGTGGGCTAAAATGGAGAAGGTAACGCTTTACATTTTGTTTTTCCTGTCCGTTATTACAGAACTAATATATCAATTTTTGTATGTATGCCATGCTTTCCTATATAGTTTAAACCGCCGTCTGTTTATAACTTTAACGAATTTGGGATGGTGTGGTCAGGATTACAAAAGGGGAGATGGTGAAAAAGTTGATTTTTGTGGCGCCGTAACATCTTTTATTTCTCAAAAGCAGATTACTGCTATTATCATATCACACTTGTCACACAAAAATATAAAAGAACAAAAGAAAAACAAAGAAAAAGAAATTCAACATATCAAAAGTTGAAAGTGATGATAATCCAAGAAGAAAATGAACATGGAATAATTCTAAGGTGTTCTTGCTCTTAAGAGTTGAGAGCTTCAAACTGTCTTCTGAACTCCTTTGCAATATCAGCAGTAGTTATTGGACTTCACCAATAACATGCTTAAATTTTTTTGTAGGGGAAACATTAGGGGAAACACAGTACCCGAACTGTATGGTTGAAAGATTGGTGATATGAGGTTCAACATTAGGTGAAACACATTTTACTGAACTTTATGGGCTACACACATCAGGGGAAACACAGCATGAAATGTGTTTCTTCTCTGTATTTCAGAAACAGTACATAGCAATAGTGCAGAACATAAGATATTTTTTTTTTAAACTACTTTTCTCCAATTAGGTGTAGCAATGTATTTTTAGCAATAGTGCATAACATACTCATCATATACAAGCATTTTAATTGTTTTAATCTTTTTCAAAGGAAAATTAGTGTAATTATGTCAAAAAAATAAATAATTGATTAGATTTTTCTTAATCTTTAGGATATTAGAGCGCATTTATTTATTTATTTATTTTGTCTCTTACAAAAAAAATTTCAAAATAAGACTGTTAGGAAGTAACAGTTATTGATTTGGATCTATTTGTGTAAGAATAATGTGATATAAATACACAAATATGTTATAAAGTGTACAATGAAATTTTGAATTTTGGCATTTCTTATTGATTAGATTTTTCTTAATCTTTAGGATATTAGAGCGCATTTATTTATTTATTTATTTTGTCTCTTACAAAAAAAATTTCAAAATAAGACTGTTAGGAAGTAACAGTTATTGATTTGGATCTATTTGTGTAAGAATAATGTGATATAAATACACAAATATTTTATAAAGTGTACAATGAAATTTTAAATTTTGGCATTTCTTCTTCAATTTTTGTTTCTATGCAATTGACCAAGTTTTAGATTTTAATTTTTGTTTTTTTTTTCTCATCTACATTTTACTTTTCATTTCCCATATTTTTATAAATATATGAATCTCTCAAATTATTCAATAATTAGTTGTTCCTATCCTATTATATTATTCTAGTTGTTTCATTCCATATATTAAAATATATATATTTATCATTGAATCCACAAATTTTATTTTATATTTATATGTAGCATGTGACTTTCTGCAAATAGATGACAGAGATCCTATTAACATGTACCATGTGACTTTCTGAAAATTGACTTGGGATGTTATGTTACATCTTCATTATGGACTATTTCTAACAAATATTGCTATATTAACCATGAAGTAATATTTCTTATATATAATTATTGTTTATATCTTTAATTATTGTTCTACCGACTAACAATGCATATTATTTTTAGCAACAATGTTAGGTATCATGAAAAACCTTTCATGAAAATAATCATGAAAGTTTTGTGACCCTTAGATTACACTTAGAATAAAGCACCACACACTAATCAAGATAATTCAAAGATTATAAATCTTTCATGATCATTTTTATGAAAAAAATTTCATGATCCCTAACTTTTCTCTATTTTGTTAATATCTTTAATTATTGTTCTACCGACTAACAATGCATATTATTTTTAGCAACAATGTTAGGTATCATGAAAAACCTTTCATGAAAATAATCATGAAAGTTTTGTGACCCTTAGATTACACTTAGAATAAAGCACCACACACTAATCAAGGTAATCCAAAGATTATAAATCTTTCATGATCATTTTTATGAAAAAAATTTCATAATCCCTAACTTTTCTCTATTTTTAGAACGATTACCATATAATTCAATTTTATATTATCATGTGATCATGTGTACTTATATGTATTCGAATTTTTGAAATATTAATTTTATTCAATTTATATATAGAAAAAATACAAGACGAGACATTTTTATTAGGACAATATAATAAATTTTTTAAAAAAATTGGTAAAAAAATTTATCATACAAAATTTTAGTAAAATGCTATCTTTTAATTGCTGCCATTGTTAACAGCAGAAGCACAAGCAGAAGCATTGGTTTGTGATCATTGCAAAATTTTGTGATCATTTTTATTTATCATCAACAGCAGAAGCACAAGCAGAAGCATAGCTTTATTACCTTCATTTCCATGAAAACCAGCAACACCCATCATGGCATTGAATTAGGTAGCCCTTTCCCAGGCCAAAACCAGGAAGCATCACATTGTTTATTTTTTAATTGCTGCCAATGTTCTGTGATCAATCCCAACTGGGTTGTTGGCCTTCATACCCATGTTCTGATTATTGTGGGTTCCCTTCATTCCCACTATTCTGATTATACTTTTCTGAAAGCAGAAACTTGTTTGTTTGTAATTGAACATGGCATTGATTTGTTCAGTGTAGCATAATTTACCTCCTTATATATTTTAGCATTTTCTCCTCTCTTTAGGTTTTAATTTTTCCATTTCTGCACCATGTTGCATTAAATTTATTCAATGTCAATAGGATAATGCTATGTACACTGTGTTGATTCACAGATTGACAATATATGTTGCAAGTTCAGAACCAAAACCTTGGACCATCCGGATTTGATGGAGCACGTCTTCACTGGCGCTGCGGCTACGGGGAAAAATGCATGGACACCCGGCGAGACTCGTAACCCAATGGAGTTGGATAGAGAGTCGGACAGTCCAGAATTTTCCAGTGACAGCAATGAATTAGGCGCATCGGAAATGGCTGAGATGATGAACTCCGCCAACATCAATGCCACAGGTAGTGGAAGCAAGCGGAAGCATTCCTCCAAAACATTGCAAAACAAGCGCATTACCGCGGTTGAAGCGTTGGCAAGCAACATGGACGACTTGGTAAATTCTGTGAAGACTCAGAGCAAGGAACTGACTGTCAACCACGTGGTGGGGGGGCACAGTTACACTATGGGCCAGGCTGTTGGACGGTTGTATGAAATACAGGGACTAGACCCTGCTAATCCACTACTCCATTTTGGAGTCATGCTTATGGAGGTTCTAAACAATCCGGAGATGGTTATGAGTATTCCCACAGACCAAGGCATAATCGGGTGGCTACAAGCAAAGCAACAGGACAAAGAAAGGAATGGGGGTATCACTCTTGCGAGTTTGCCGCGCAATTCAGGAATTCGGTTTTAAATCCGCACGGGCGAAACTCTTGAAAATTTGTTTAATTTCAGTTGAATTGTGAAATGTTTGTGGTTCATGTGTTTTTTTTTTTTGAATGCTGGTTTGACACTAGATTTGGGCAGGGGTCATGGATGTGAACCCATTGTCCTAAACTTCTTGTGCTATGTTTGTGGTGCATTTTGTTTTGTTATGCTATAAATGCTGCAAGGTTGAAGTAAATGTGGTAATCCAATTTTCACGTCATTTTCCGAATTTGCAATGTGTGTGACCAGGTTGTTCATATAAAATTATGTAAGATGTGGTTTTCAATGTGCTATGTACAATGTGGTTTCTGTGTGTTGCAATTATGAAATTAATTATTTATAAAAAATATGAAATTATGAAATGATTAAAATTATGAAAATCCCGTGTAGTTTTTGGATATATTAAAAAAAATATATATATATATATATATATATATTTATGACCTTTTTTGTACAGCATGATTGTTAGGGGTTTCAACATTTTCATGTTGTGGATTACAAAATTTGCTGTACATTCACATTTTTCATGTTAAAAATTCATGCTCCCAATATGCGCTTCATACTGCCATTAGAAGTTGTTGATAATGTTTTGTGCTAATCGTTGTAGGTATGGACAACGACGATGACGACGCCACACGGATGAATCAAATGTTAGAGGATGTTGCAGCTCTCGCAATACAGTGGCAGCATGCAATGAATTATGCATATGTTGAAGCCTATAGAATTGCCATTGACTACTACAAGGCGTACGTCCTTAAAGTCCCATGCCGCACTTCTATATTGTCCGAGAGGGCATGGATTGCGGAATTATACAATGGTCACAATGGCCGCTTCCGGTACAAATTGTGCATGCCCAAACATGTGTTCATGCGGTTATGTACGACATTGGTAAGCGACTTCCAATTGCGTGTACCCGAGCATCCGCACGGCTTGCACGTCGAGGAGAGTGTAGCAATATTCATTCACGTGCTTAAAAACTTGCCAAACCGGGAGTTACAAGAACGATTCCAACATTCCGGTGAAACTATTTCACGCCATTTTCATAACGTCTTGAAAGCAATGAAAAAATTCACTGTTGCTCACTGCAGGCCCCGTGCTAATTTCCAGACACACAGGGCTCCCCAGTTGCAGTCTCAACCACAATATATGCCATTCAAGGTGTGCAAAAATATTTTGTAATGTTTTGGAAAATGCTCGGTATGAACATGGTCGGTAATCTTATCATTGCATTTTTTTTTGTTAATATATAGGATTGCTTAGGTGCATTGGATGGGACACACGTGCCAGCATGCATAAAGGAGTCAGAAGCAGCCCCATATTTCAGCAGAAGGGGGTGTCACACCCAGAATATTTTGGCGGTGTGTGATTTCAACATGTGCTTTGTGTTTGTCTCATGCGGGTGGGAGGGCAGCATGCACGACAGCCGAATTTTAAGCAATGTAACCGAGGATCCACAATACAATTTTCCAACTACAATTGACGGTACGTACACCCGAATCCACAATACAATTTTTTATTTTTATTTTTTTGAACATGGGTATGTAAATAATTTTTTTTAAAATAATAATATTTTGAATAAAAAGTAAAGGGAATTTTTAAATTACAGAAAATAATAGTGATTGTAATAATTTAGGGTAGGTTTTGGATATATTATTTCAAAAAGTAATGTTATCTTCTTACTATTGGTTATGGGGATCATACAAAATTGCAATGAAGAATTGCTTTTCTGAGGTATTACAAAAGTATGCAAGCGTCGCCACTGCTTGTCAATACATAATTCAATTATGGAGCTATAATTGTTGTGAAATAAATGTATGCAATTATGGATAAGTTAAAATTTATATTCTATGCAAAGTGAACATAGGTCATGAGTATTACGTAATTTACATGTGCACTTTGACAGGTCGGTATTACCTTGTGGATAGTGGATACAACAATAAGAAGGGCTTTCTGGCACCATACAAAGGCAACAAATACTACCAACCGGAATTTCAAAGGCACAATCCACGGAACCGTGATGAGTTGTTCAACCGCGCTCACTCATCTTTGCGGAGTGTGATTGAGCGTACGTTTGGCGCTTGGAAGTCGCGGTGGAGATTTTTCAAAGACATGCCTCGATTTGATTTGTGCAGGTGCCATTGGTTGCAGCGTCCATGACTTTACATAATTTCATACGCAGAAATAGTGATGACGACGAGATTGTTGATGCTGTTAGCAGTGCGGCCGAGTACAGATACGCGGACACGCCTGACCGAGACGATTTGGCTGCCCTTGATGATGCGATGATGCCTGGAGACGATGACGTTGAGATGGCGCAGTTGCGGGCGCGTATCAAGGCAGAGTTAGTTGCGATTTAGCGAAATGCTCGTTAGGTGGACAGGTTACGTGTTGTGTTCAAATTAATTGGAGAGGACTATTTGCGTATATTGCTAACCAATTATGTACGAGCATGTATGTCACTGTTTTTGTACAACTATGGAATAGAGACTTCGTTATGATTTTAGGTTTCTTGTTAAAAATGTAAGGGCTTTCGTGAACTGATAAATTTAAGGTTGGTTTTGATTTGTTAGTTGCGATTTTGCGAAATGCTCAGAGTTTCGTACAGAGTTTGGCTATGAGTTGTTCATGACTTTGGAATAGAGACTTGTAAAAATTATTTTCCTATTTTATCGGCATTTTTGTACTATTCACAATTACATCACGTAAATTACAATCCATATGACTAGTCGTTTGGAAATATATTATTTTACTAAATTATTTATTTTTGGACTATAAACTCAAAAAAAATAGTATGTCTCGCTGCTCTTGCTGTAATTTTTTTTGAAAAGTTGTACAAAAAGTAGATCAAAAGTGAGTTACAGGGCTTCTCTATATAGTGGGTGTTTGGGAAATGGGATTTTGAAAATAGTTTTTTTAGTTGTAAGATATTATTTTGTCAAATTTTTTTTGGTAACGTTTACGTTTTCGGTTCGTGTTAACAAAAATTTTATAAACTGATTTTTGTTTATTTTTAGAAAAACATAAATTATAAACGCGTTTAGTTGGAACAAAATGTTTAAAAACATAAACTAAAACAATATGTTTGTTCAGGCCTAAAATATTTATATTTATTTTCATTATTTATGACAATGGGATCACACACACTATAATTGAAAAAAAAAATAATTAAAAAAATAATTGAATAAAAAATTTAATTGGAAAAAAATAGAGAAAATTAGTCTAAGGTCCCTCTCCCATTTTTAGTAATGGAAGAGATCCACAATATTATTTTATGATGTCTAAGGTCCCTCAACTCCCACACCCATATATCACAGAGAAATTTGACTGAAATCAAACCTCAACTTCCCACTTTTCTCTCCCTCTCTCTAGAATACATACACAAATATATATATATATATATATATAGCTTCAATGGCGGTGATACAGAAAGGATTTGTCAAAACTTCCTCCATGTACTCAGCAACCGAGATTGGCCCACCACAGAACTGAGCATATACCACCGCCAATCATGACTTCAACTTCCTAGCTTATTCAAAATAAATAAATAAATAAATAAGTTGCAACAAGAAACTATTTAGACATTTTGGGACATTTATGGAAATTGAATTGGCCATTCTCTTTTCTTAGAATTTCTATAAACAAAGACGTGCATATTAAAATCTAAAGCAAAACACTTGCTTTCATGGACGCACATACACATACATTTCCGCAAACACTGAATCGACATTACGACAGCAACGGCAAATCCAAAACCAGACGGGGACAAAGTGGAAGCAAGGTTAAAAAAAAATTATATATATATATATATATATAAAATTGTAGACCTTGATGATGCCTTTGAGGTGCTTAACAAGCTCAGAATCCGAAGAAGGCTCGTGAGAATGCTCTGAATCAATTGCTTTGGAAATCAGAGAATTTCTCTGGACCAACCCAATTTTCTCAGAAGCAGAGCACCAGTCCTCATTGTTGTTCAGAGAAATTTGGAATTTTCTCTATGATGGTCCAGAGAAATTTAGAATTTTCTCTGTGATTTGTCCAGAGAAATTCTCTGGATCGAATTTTCTCTGGATTGATGTTGAGGGACCTTAGACATCATGAAAATATTGAGTGTCCTTTATGCTATAAAATCTTTATACCAAGGACCTTAAAAAAAATTCCCCAAAAAAATAATTGGAAATAAAACTAATTCGGAAAAATTATTTGAAAAAAAAAGAAAAAAATTAATTAAAAAAATAATTTTAAAAAATTATTAATTGGGAAAAAAATTTGAAAAAAAAAAGGTTAATTGAAAAAAAAAATTTATTTGAAAATAAATAATTGAAAATAAATTATTTCAAAAAAAATTAATTAAAAAAAATTGAAAACTAAAAACGTTTCCTCATTTGTTGAGTTTACGTTTTTTCCTCAAATTTATAAACTCATTTATAAACCAAAAAAATTATCAAATAAGTTTTTATGACAGTTTGTTAAATTTTTTTAAATATAAATTGAAAATTGAAAACTGAATGGATACTAAACAGATGTGTTTGGTAACGTTTACGTTTTCAGTTTATATTTATAAAAATTTTATAAATTGGTTTTTGTTTATTTTTTGTTTATTTTTAGAAAAACCTAAACTACAAACACGTTTGGTAATTGACAAAATGTTTTAAAAAATTTAAAAATATAAAAAAGAGTGAAAAATGACAAGTGGTGGCAGGTGGCGGCGGAAGACGGTGTTGGAAAGTTGTGACGGTGGGTGATGGGTAGCTGGTGGTGGTGGATGGTGGCGGGTGGATGGTGGGTGACGGTGGCGGGTGGTGGGTGGTAATGAGTAGGAGGTGGTAGTGGCAGGTGGTGGGTGGTGGTGGCAGGTGGGTGGCGGATGGCGGGTGGTGATGGGTGGCGAGTAGGTGGCGGGTGGTGGGTGGTGAGTGGCCGATGGCGGGTGGTTGGTGGTAGCGAGTGGGTGGGTGGTGATGGTGGTGGTGGTGGTAGTGGCTAGTGGTGGTGGTGGTAGCAGGTGGGTGGCGGATAGCTGGTGGTGTGGGTGGTGATGGTGGGTAGGTGGGTGACGGTGGCGGGTGATGGGTGGTAGCGAGTGGGTGGTGGTGGTGGTGGTGGCGCAGCGGGGTGGTGGTGGCCAGTGTGGGTGGCGGTGGTGGTGTGGTGGTGGTGGTGGTGGTGGCAGGTGGGTGGTGGTGGGTGCGTGGTGGTGGCGAGTGGTGGATGGTGGTGGTGGCAAGTGGGTGGTGAGTGGTGGTGGGGGTGGTGGCGGAAGACGGTGGTGGAAAATGATGATGGTTGGTGGCTAGTGTTGGGTGGTAAAAAAAAAAAAAAAACTCAAAACTCAAAACGGAAACACATTTTTTGTGTTTACATTTTTCGGTCAAATTTATAAATTGAGACCACTGATTTATAAATCAAAAATTTACCAAACAAGTTTTTATTTGAGTTTTTAAAATTTTTGTAAATATACATAGAAAACTGAAAACGTAAGTGTTACCAAACGGCAGACCCTTTGTGTTTGGAAAGATAGTTAGGTTTTTTTGTGGTTGGATGTGATGTTTGTGAGAGAAAAATTGAAATAATTATGGGGTTTAGTGTGATATTTTGTTTGGGATTTTTTTTTTTTTTGGATTTTATAAGACATTTGTCTTGTAGTGAAAAAAATAAATAAAATAAATAAAAAAAACTCAAAAACCAAGTTCCCAAACACTTCCATAGTTTGTTGGATTTTTAGAATGTTTTTAAAAAAATTTGATTTTTAACGCAAAATGTGATGTTTCATAAAAATAAAAAAAAAATAATTTATTACAATACACAAAGTACAATCCATATCCCATATTTATGAAATTTTTATGTATATTAACGTAAATATTATTTACATAATATTACATAACACAAATATATTGTTTACAAATACGTGCTGTATTAGAATTCTCTAAAGTCATATTTGATTCACAAGACTAATAGTAAAGTATTAATAGTTCTATTAAATTAGTGTGGTATTCACTATTCAATTGGATTAATATCCATTGGATTAATAATCACACCCCTACCTCATTACTAATAATCTTATAAATTTGTTGGATTAATTATCCATTAGATTAATAATTCTAAACCAAAATGTTAAAACAAATATAAAATAATTAGACTTATAAATTAATAATGCTAATCTCATAATCTAATCCACCCAATCAAACATGCAGGAAATATAATTTGACCGTTATAGCTTCATTTTTAAACATACTGTATTAATATTATTTAAATAACATTACAGCACACAACTCTATTTGTATAGGCTGTATGGTCCAAGTGCATGGTCCAAGAAAGGAAATTTAAAATAATAATTCTTGACAAATGTGACATCCAACAATTTGCAGAAGCCATCTGACGCATCCACGGGTACTTCTGAAATGCTATAAGGCCATTTTGGTCATTTTACTCACTTCTCATTATTTATTTTATTTTATTTTACGTCTTTTTGTAAAAAGTCAAAAAATTTATCCCAAACAATTAGGTTTTTTTTTTTCTTATATAGTAGTTAAAAAGTCAAAAAATTACTAAAATAACTTGTTCCCAAACGAGACATCATATCATAAAAAAGGAAAAAAAAAAAAAAAAAACAACCCTACCTCCTCAACAAACAATCATAAACCCTATGTTTATCATCATACACACCACATACAACAAATTCTATGCTCACAGTATACACACTTACATACAATTTTAATTATAAAATTCATATACTGATAGTGTGAACTTCCAGTTCACTAAATGCTTAACAACAGCTTGTTCAAACACTGATGCAACAAACTTTCATCATTCAAAATTTCACATGAACACAATAATTTTATCACAACAACGAATCAATCACTAATAGCATGACATAAACATCATTGTAATCAATTGATCATAAACAAAGAACAATGAAAAACATAACAAATCACAACAGCAATCTCAAACAAAAACTAACCTTCTCCAGAATATCGGTTGAAAACCAGATAAAATCGCAAATCGCAAATCGCGCAAAATCTAGAGCTTCAGTAATCGCAAAATTGCGCCCAATCAATACCTTCAGAAATTGCAAATCGCGCCAATTTGAAGCTTCACAAATCGCAAATGGCAAAGAGAAATCATAAATGGCAAAGAATCTGAAATCCAAACGCAGATTACAAACTTCCCAAATATGATATTCAAACAACAAGCTATATATAAGGGTAAAATGGTCAAAAAAATATATAATAAAACTGAAAATAGGACCTCCAGGTCTAAAAGTGTAAACCTTAGGACTTAGTAAAATAAAATAAAATAAAAACATAGACTGATTGGTATAAAAGAATCTGAAATAGGATTTTTTGGTAATTTTCCCAAA